GAAATAAAAATCATACATGTAATATTATTTTTATTAAGTAATATAAAGCATTAGAATATAAAATAATATATAAAGAACTGTATATGTAAAACTCGGTGGTATATATACGAGTTATTTATATTTAAAAGTACAAAAGTCGAAATTGAAATGAATGTATAATATGAAGGACTATAAATGTAAATTTTATTAATATAGTAGTATTATAGTAACGTTTTCGCTCGATGATTATTTGCCAAGTCAAAGTGGTTTTTGACTTTTAGAAATGGTTAAATGGTTTTGAGCCTAGTATCGGGTGTGAATAACAACACCCATATATATAAGGATATCTATGGATGTCTATGGAATGTATAGAAGATAACAGTGATCATCATAGATCCAATAATCGGCTCTACATGTCACATATACAACAACCAGGGACCAAGTCTCAATAAACAACCCATAATCCACAATTTGACCTAAAGTCAAACTTGGTCAAAGTCAACGGTCAGCCTCATACCACCCACGCCCAACGTAGCATGCAACTCTACGATCAACGTAGAGCACAAGGTGGCTAAACAGGCAAAATCAAGGCTACGCCCAGCGTAAGGAAAATTATGTCACACATAGAACCAAATGTCCAACTTTTTCATTAAGCTCTTAATATAGAAAGTCAATCGTTTAAGCTTTCAAATATGGACCTTTACAATGTCTGAATGGATAAAGTTCCAACTTTACCCATTAAGACACTCCCATCAAGCAAGATCTAAACTTTATGCACTAAAATGACCAAAAATGCTAACATCGCATCCATGGCTTAAAGAACAAGCATCAAAGCACAACTTTTCAAGTCCCAAGAGTGTCCCATATAACTCAAAAGGTTGTCTCAACTCCCAAAACACAAGCTCAAGGGACCAAAAAGTGACAAATATGACAATAAACAAGAACCATGAAACCAATGAGCAGGTTAGAAGCTTTTTACTCATAATGGTCCAGGAATGAAGCAATCTTGTTGGATCTATACTTGAACCTTTCATCTATGCACTTTGCAAACACCTTGTTCTTCAAGATTCAACCATCCAATGGAGAAATAAACTCATAAAATATGTCAAGGCTCAAAACAAGCAAGAGGAGGCTAGGGTTTCTCAAGGAATGATCTGAGGTGATGGAGGTTGGTCATGGGAAGGATCCCAAGAAGTTAGAGCCCTTAAATATGGCTCAAAACCTTAGGGTCAGGGTTTTGGTCTGCAGCGACTACGCCCAACTTCAAACAACCATAACTTCTTCGTTTCAACTCCAATTTCGGCATTCTTTATATGCACGGAAAGGTATTGACGAGCCCCACAATTATCTCTAGTTGCTTTTTACTGAAAACGTATCGAACTATAATCCTTAATTCATGCAAGAAGTTCAAGATATCAATTTCCCGTTTTACCCTTTTTCTTCAAGGCACAAAATCAAGGGTTCTAATCACTTAATCCAACATTACCATTCATCCGAAAGGGTCTAAACTATATTCCTTTAAAGTCCAAGACCTTCACTTGATCAAATTCCGGTCCGATGTCCCGAAATTAGAACATCACTAAAACTAGGTGTTACATTATGAGTTACTCGTTGTTTTTCTCTCTTGGAAAATATTATTTTCATAAAATAATAATTTCTCAATTAAATACAAGAGTTGATAATATTTATTAGTAATCAAATTCTAATAAATAATCAATAAGTGTCTACTTGTTATAATATGTGACCTTATAGGGTCATACGTTATTAGCAAATATCATTTTATAATGATTCTTAAACATATAGATCTTTCATGTCTATGAAATGCATATAATATAGTGATGAAGTGAATCAATCAAGTTTATTTAGTATCTTTTGTTTATAGAATTATGTTATTACTATCATATTGATTTGTGTTATGAATTGTTATGTATGCTCCTTTACCATTACTCGCTAAGCTTTTGTAGATTACAAGTGATAGGACTAGTGATAAGGGTAAGGAGATAGTTTGACTTGAGATGTAGAAGGATTTAGAAGACTATTACTTTTGTTTTTGATGTTATAATGAAATAACACATGTTGAAATTTTGTACGGTTACTTAAACTATGGTTGTGGATATAACTTGTATCTATGATTCTATGTGGTAGTATAATATACACCATATGAATGTCTAAATGGTTTTTGGATTGGAAAAATATAGATGTACTTTATACCACAAGTAGTCTAAATGGTTTTCAAATTGAAAAAAATATAGATATACTTTATACTAGAAGTAGGGTATTACATAACCGGCCAAAATTCGAACGTCTTTTAAATGGACCACTGTCTTCAAATCAAAATTTCATAATATTAGGCAATGCTTAATCACATTGGCAATATAATAAATACAAGATGGCTAATAAATACAAGATGGCTAGTAAGATTATGAACATAGGCCTACAAATTAATTAATGGAGACCACAGTACCATTTATCAGTTAAATGGGTGTAAGGGAATTTATTATTTTTACCAATATGAAAGGAAGCTATAATAAATACAAGATGCTCCTAAATTTATGAAAGTTACTATGATCCACTACGTAACTATGGTGTGGTCTTTAATAGAGAAAAATAAAGTTCCTTCGTACCCTTATGGTACATTGCGTAAGTGTCAACATTAAATATCATTTGGTTTCAACCATAGATCCATATGCACTTTTTGAAATTGAGCATGAATAAACTGATAATTAACAATAAAGTCCATGTTAACATATTTTGTATTTAAAAAAACTTTAAAATTAAAAAAAAAAGGATATTCGGAACTAGAAGCGGTTCCAAAATCCCGGGAACTGTTGTAATCAATTTTAGTCCAATATTCAAGGGACCGCCGGTTCTGATTCCTTACAATTTAGTTGGATACCCACCTATGTTCGCCGTTAGTAACCATTGATAGAAAATTTAACATGAAATCCTACTCATGTTTTTAGTAGATGTATTAAGCGCATCTTCAATGGTTAATATATACTATCACTTAATATTATTGTCACATCATCATTCCATTACTTTTAACCTCTAATTAAATGACATTTTCAATGGTTAATCTCTTTCAATAATTTTTTCTTTAAATTTAACTAATATATCTTTATCTATTTAAAATGATCTATATAATCCACTTATTTAATTAGTCATTTTTAAACACATCATATTTTAATACAAATTATTCTAATAAATATTATCATTATAAATTTATATTTCATAAATAGAATGTCATTAAATAACTGATAGAATTAATTAACTAGTGAATAAATAAATTAATTAAAAACTAAAATATAATTACAGGGTAAAATAAAATATGATTACAAGATGAGGGGTTAAATGTACAAATGATTAAACTATATTCACAACTCAGTATATATTGAATGGTCAATAAAAATGAATAAAAAAGTTATATGCTCCAATAACAATAAGTGTTTAATATAAATAAATAAGTAGTAATAAGCTTTAAAAAAAAGTTATCATTAGAAATGCTTTAAGTTATAAGGACCAAGATAAGATTAAAAATCATCGGTGATCATAATGTATATATCGATTTTATAAAACCCAACAACCATCGAATGCAATTAACAAAAACATTATGATTGAACCACTTATGTGATTCATTAATTAAAGTCTATCACTATTGTACGATACACACCATAATCCATCTGCAAATATTGCACCCCTTAGCAAGCAAATGTACAAGAAGTCCTTCTCTTAAGTCGTGGTGGTTTTTAAGGTTTTAAGAATGAGTGCAAAAAGCCTAAGAATAATATTCTTTTTAATGCCTACAAAGTTTGTTCATTTAACTCAAACAACATTAAAATAATCATTTGGTATTATTTTTTATTTATCTCACTTAATTAATTTAATAAACCAATCATATAATTTTTTATTATTTATTGTCACTTCAATAAATAATAAATTAATTCATCTTAATTAAATATTTTTGTCATCCAATCTTGAGCCGAATGTATAACTCATATAGACTCATGTAATTACTTGTGTTACCGATATAGGGGTGAGATATTAACCGAAAAACCGAACCATAACCAAATTAACCGATATAACCAAACCATTTTAACCGAACCATTACTAAAAGATATGGTTTGGTTTCTAATTTTGATTAACTGAATACATATGGTTCGGTTATGGTTTTCATCAAAAACCAAACCATTATAAACCGAACCGAACCGAACCAATAATATTAATATTGTTTTTAATATAATATAATATTAAATATATTGTATGTAATTATATTGTGAATTGAAAATTTAAAGGGTTATTATTTGGAGTTAGATAAGATAAGTAATATTCTACCAATACAATTATATACACAATCATTCACTTTTTATAACATAGACCTTGTGTTTTTCAATTTTTATAGAGAAATATTTTTATTTTTTATGTCATCTTGGACCATTTTGGTTAACCGATATTAACCATTAACCACAACCATTAACCGTCAAAAACCATTGACCAAAACCAATATTAACCGTTACCCAATGGTTATTGAAATACATTAACCAATTGCAATGGTTATGGTTTGGTTTTGACCAATAACCGAACCAAACTGCCCCATACACACCCGTACACTAATATATTATGTAGTAGACATATCTCCAACAACTATTTATAGAGGCTTTTTAATTACTCATTTAGAGTCTTAACACTTCTGCTATAATTTCCATGTATCAACAAAATCAAAGACAAACCAATTCGAATCTTATGATTTGTTTTGAAACTTCTATGGAACTTGACCGAAATAATATAAACATCGAAACACGTAGTTTTATATTATCAACAAGTCGGTATGTTTTCGTAAGGAATTTTAGTAAGTCCGAAATATAAAAAACCGAATCCGATAGCTCATAAAAAATGTTCTTATTTGCCTATAGTTCCAATAATCATTTGTTCATTTTGTCGTAAATCCCTATAAAAATATAATATATATATATATTAAATATCTATGAATTTTAATTTTAATAAAAATATATATAAGGATGTCAATGGATGGCTATGGAATGTATAGCCCGTTAAAACCGGTTTCTGATTCCGTCCCGTCCATTTCACATTCAATCCAAAAGAGTAAAACCCTCGATCCTCGGCGTGTGTATTAATGGAGTATGGACCCGACTTTAAGTTCTTCAACCCCACTTTTTTTCCGATTTTTGTAACAGGGAAACGTGCGTCTCAACCCTCACCCAACTACTCCTGCGTCTTTCGTTAATCACTAGTTTGCTTTCTACTTTCTAGTTTCTACAACACTCAACCCATCGCCCATTTCCCCTTTTTTAACCCTTCCGCAATCGCCACTATTTGCCTTCCACTTTTGAGCTGTTTTATTCAATTATTACTAATCATAATTCATCCCCTTCGATTATTTATTCTTCTCTATTCAATCTTACCTGTAATTTCTTAATTATTAGTACCTTTTTTCCATTCTGGGTCTGGTCCATGGATGATGAAACTGTTTGCTTTTCAATTTTCATTCTAGTTTTCCGTTGTTGTCATATTTACTAACACCCATTATTGCTCCTAAAAAGCATTGACTTCCTTGTACGATAGTCACTTTCGGTTCTAGTTTTGGTTTCCTTTCAGGTATTGGGGACCGATTTAAGGATTTCTTGTATTCTATCACGAATCAGGGATCTGGGTTTTCATTGATGTGATGTGAATCGAACTTGTGTACAGAAAAAATGGCTAATCTGGTCCCTGGGGTTTTGTTGAAGCTGCTTCAACACATGAACACAGATGTAAAAGTTGCGGGAGAACACAGATCGTCTTTATTGCAAGTTGTGAGCATCGTTCCAGCTTTAGCCGGAGGTGAGCTCTTTCAAAATCAAGGGTTTTATCTCAAGGTATCTGATTCATCTCACGCCACATATGTATCATTACCCGATGAAAATATCGATCTTATTTTAAGCGATAAGATCCAGTTAGGTCAGTATGTACACGTTGAGCGCCTCGAATCAGCCACCCCAGTTCCAATTTTACATGGGGTCCGACCAGTTCCCGGCCGACACCCATGTGTCGGAACCCCAGAAGACATTGTTGCCACTCATTCTTTAGGGTTCTTAAATAACAATGGCAGTTCCACTAGTAGCACAACTACTTCTAAACTACTTGGTAATATCAAATTGCCCTCCAAAAAGGATACAAACCCCACAACTGTGAGTGTGAGATCAAATGGGGCGATCGAAAGTAAGAAAACTTCATCAACTTTAGCAAGATCTAAATCCCAATTGTCAAAATTGGTATTGAATGTAGAATCGAGGCAATCTTTGGCAAAAGTCAAACCATCAAGGTCAATTCCTTCATCTCCCACTAGTTGTTACTCTTTGCCTACTTCTTTTGAGAAGTTCTCCAATGGGGTCAAGAATCAGTCAAAGATCAAAGGGTCTGATAAGGAAATTGGTAAATTGAATTTAGGGGAAAAAGGGAGTGGGGTTCGTGGGGTGAGTTCAAGTGTGAAAAAATCTGGAATTGGAAATTCGATAAAGAATTTTGTTCAGGGTATTGAATTGGGGCCTAAGGCTTTGAGGAAGAGTTGGGAAGGTAATATGGATGTCAAGACTCCAAGATTAAAAGTCACCAAGAATGATTTGAAGCTTGAAGCTAGGAGTACTTCTGTAAGTTATTCATATAGTTTGATTTTTATTTCTATTTGAATATCTCCAAGATTGATAATTCATTGCATTGATTTCTTCACTTTTTTTTTTCTATTTTTCCTGTTGCCATTGCCTAAGATTGAAAATTTCTTCAAATACCCAATTAATTTAAGACTACGAACTTGCAATTGTTTTTAAATGAGAGTCATTTCCAAGAGTATTGTGATTCCTTAGTTCTTTCTAATTAGACTTTATATTATTTTGAATAGTTCTTTTAGTTACTCTTTTGTGTTTAAATTAGAATCATTTATGTTCTTTCTAATTCGTATTTTAGGCATATCAGGGGTTTACATTTGTCAATTTCTTTGAGCATTAGGAAACTTATTGATTGCTTATGAGATATCTAGAACAGGATAAATTGCAGTAAATAGCAACACACTTACAATTCATTTCTAATTTGGTCACCAAACTTTATTAATCATTAATAATTCATTCCATAAAACTTTTGGAAAATGTTATAAAACCATTCAACCACATTAATATTTTGCAGATTTCGGTTCAAAATTTACCCAAAATAGCTAATTTTGAAAAGCTAGTTTTAGTAACGAGTCCAGTGACCAAATTACAAATGAAGTGAAAGCACATTTCTATTTATTGCAATCTTTAGAAGGAAAATATACAGAAAGCTTGTATTTTCACCATTTTATTTGTTTAACAACTTAACTATTTTTTGTAGTGATTAAATCATTATACTTTTCTAACCATTTAGAAAAAAACGTAAAGCACAACATACATTTACCATTTCATCGATTTAGCCCCTGAACTATTTTATTATAATAATCATCAAAGAATAATAGTTTAGTGGCTAAATTGACAAGAAGGTGAAAGTAATTATGCTTTTCTTGGTTTCTGTATTTCCCCCTTTTTAGAATACTTATCTATAAAGACAAAATAGTCAAAACCTTGTTTTTTTTTTGTATTTGACCCTTTTTTAAAATACTTTTCGATAAAGAAAAGTTATTAAATCTTGTGGACAAAATCAATACCATCAGTTTATTTGTAATCTTTTATTAAACAAATGTATAACTTTAACATAGGTTCCAAAAAAATCTACAAGTGAAAGGATTCCATATAAAGAGGAAGATAACAACAACAAATCACAATCACTTACAAAGTCATTAAACAAAGAGGAAAACAAGATTCAGACACCTGTAAAGAGATCTATGGCTTATGGAGATTCGGTTGATCATGATCATTCAAATAAGCAAAAACCAACTTTAGGTAGAAAGTCAACTTCTGAGGCATCTACAAATGGTCTCCCAGGGAATTTGGTCAAAGTTTCTCTTAGTAACAAACGGTTGACCGATGCTGGTGCTGCTTCTTGGTCTTCACTCCCATCTTCACTTTCAAAGCTTGGAAAAGTACATTTTTTTTTCTTCCCATTTTCAATAAATTCAGATTATAATTTCTTTTTCTTGAATTCTATTAGTTTTTGGTATAAAGGGTTAAATGCAAGAATTTGCAATGTACTTTCATTGTAGGAAGTCTTGAAACATAGAGATGCTGCCCAAATTGCAGCTATTGAGGCAATGCAAGAGGCATCAGCTGCTGAAAGCTTACTTCAATGCATAAGGTACTTCACTAGACCTATTTTCTATGATAAGGGCATTTACGTCTTTTTGCACAAACAAGAATCAAGAACAAGTCCTTGTCCCACCTTTTTGGAACAGACAAAAAAAAATTGCAACTTTTTTCCCATTGACAAAGCGACAAACACAGTACACTATTGTCAGTGTCAGCTGTTACTGATACTCTTACTGATACTGATACTGATACTGATACTGATACTGATACTGATACTGATACTGATACTGATACTGATATATTTTGTTTTGTGTTTTAGCACATACTCTGAACTGCGTTGTTCTGCAAAAGAAGAAAACCCACAGCCAGCTGTTGAACAATTTTTAGCATTACACTCAAACTTAAACAACGCCCATCAAATATCCGAATCTTTATCCAAAACAAATCATCTTAATTCATCATTAGATCAAGAAGAAACCCCATCAGAAGAACAATTAAAACTTTCATCAGAAAGACAAAAGCAAGCAACTTCATGGGTTCATGCAGCCATGGCAACCAACTTATCATCCTTTTCAGTCTACACCAAACAACCCAAATTAACCACCACCACCACCACCAAGACTCTTACTAAGCCGGTTCTTGTACTTGAGAGCTCCACCAATGCACCATCGCCCAAAACCGCCAAGCCCCGCCAGTCGGTCAGCTCAAAGGCTGTGAATCCGGTGACCCCGCGGCGGCAGAACGGTCAAAAGGCTCGGGTGGTGGTGGTGCAACCGCCGCCGCCGCCACCGCCGGAATGGGAGAGAGGTGGTGGGTTTGATGAGGCGGTTGATTTGGCACAGAAGTTGAAAGTGGAGTCTCGTGAGTGGTTTTTAGGGTTTGTTGAAAGATTCTTGGATGCTGACGTGGACACTGCGAGTAGTTTATCGGATAATGGACAGATTGCGGGGATGCTGAGTCAGCTCAAGAGTGTGAATGATTGGTTGGATGCGATTGGATGTGGAAAAGATGAAGAGGAAACGTCTCGTATTTCACCAGAGACTATTGATAGGATAAGGAAGAAAATTTACGATTATCTCCTTACACATGTGGAATCTGCTGCAGCTGCACTTGGTAAACCCTGAGGGCAATTACGTCTTTTGCACAGACTGAGACCGAGTCCCTGTCCTGTGGTTTGTTGTGACTTGTGAGTAGTAACAACTAACACGGGGTGTAAAAGATGACTGAAATGGTTAAAGATTATATATTTTTTGTATATAAATTACTGAGAAGGTTGTTTGGGGGGTATAGATGGAGTGTTGACAAAATTTGATTATGAAGAAAGGCATTGAATTGGGGGGTTTCCTTGTGTTAAATTTCTTGTATTGTTTTGGAAATGTTCATTGAAAACTACAGAAGAAGAAGATGAGCAAATTTAGCAGATTGTCTACGAATTATGATAGAAGAGAATGCCCTAAAGATTATAAAGGGAGATGTGTTTGTTTTGATTCTTAGTAAATTAATTTTTATTAATTATTTTTCTTACGTGAAATCAAAATCTGGTTTGAATATGTACGTTGTTCTAAAAGGCTGTCCATGTGAAAGATCTCCCTAAAGTCTCTGTGATTATATATATATATATATATATATATATATATATATATATATACACACCCCATTTATGATACTGGGCACGCACATCCGGTCTTACTTCTCTATCTTATGATCCCTCATGGATCTATGTTCTTTCTTCTTACTCTTGAATTCATTATGTATTCTTTACTCTTAACCCCTTACGGGTTACCTTTAAATTCTTACAAAGAACTCTTTTATCTTGTTCCTCTCAAGGAACTTGTCTCTATCTTTTCTAACCATTCTTATTCTGGATTCTCGCAAGAATCATCTGTCTACATTCCCAAAGGGATGCATCTATATCTTTCACTGTAGGGCCATAATCTCATTCCCAAAGGAATTATATTCTTGTTCCCGTAGGAACCATACTCTTGTCCCCAAAAGGAACCTTGCTCTTATTCCCGAAGGAATCTTACTTTTGTCCCTGTAAGACCCATACTCTAATACCCGAAGAAATATTACTTTTGTCCCCGTAGGAACCATACTCTTATTCCCGAAAAAATCTTAATCTTTTAGCCGTATGAACCATACTCGTATTCCCGAAAAAATCTTACTCTTGTCCCTGTAGGAACCATACTCTTATTCCCGAAGGAATCTTACTTTTGTCCCCATAGTAACCATACTCTTATTCTCGAAGGAACCTCTATCTTTTGTCCCCGAAGGAACATCTATCTCTTGTCCCCGAAGGAAACCTATATCTCTTTATCTCTATCTTTGTTATATGACTCATCACATAACCTTTGTCCGATGGACAATCTATACCTATGTCTCATTAAGAGGCCTTCTAATATTTCGCTTCTAGTACTTAACTCATTAAGTACTTAATCTTTATCTATGTCTACTAACATATTGGCATTCTAAAATACCATTAATGTCTAGACATAGATACATACTCTATGATTATGTTACATATAATCATCTTTTGTCTCTATCTACTTTCTCTTAGGTATTCTAACAAATATCAATCTCATCATCTATTCATACATATGATTATATTACATATAATCATATTCTCTATTTACTCTTAAGGGTATTACTTATAATACCCTGATTCATCCTTTACCCACTTATACATATTTTGGTTATACATACATGCTCAGATACATGTCTTACATGTATAACCTCATTTACTTAATCTTACATAGGGTTATAATCTATATACCTCCTCTTTGTCATGCTCAGATACATGACACCATCATATATAAACATACTTATATCTACATACATAAAATGTATAAATTGACTTAAAGAGAGAGAGAGTGAGAGATATAACTCACCTTATCAATTAGTGAAAACTAATTTGTAACATCCGGAATCTAGAAGGTCAATTATGGAAATGAATTTCCTTTTTAGGGGCCAAATCGTCGAGTTTATGGCATAAACTCGACGTGTTGGAAGCTTTTAGGGTGCATGTTTTTAAGGACCAACTCGTCGAGTTGGTGAAGAGAACTCGACGAGTTGGACGATGTTTGAGAAACCCTAATTTTTGGGTTTTGCACCCTATTTGAACACCTTAAGTTCCAGGTGGTGGCCTCATTCCCAGCCTCCATAGCCCCTAACCCTAATCTCGAAACCCTAGAGCCTCCTTGAGTGTTGTGAGCTCATTGTAAGTGTGTTTTGGTGTGTTGGAAGCTCATTGAAGGGGAGAAAAGCTTGGTGCAAGGTGGTGGTTCAAGTAGGAGCTTTCAGATCTTGATTCTCTACTTCATTTCCAGTAAATCTTGGGTATAAAGTTCTAACCTTGCTTAATATTTGCTTAGATCTCTTATTTGGTTAAATTGCATGCTTTTAGCCATGGATGGGTGATTGTTGGGGAAGTAGAAGTCCCAAGTGCTTACTCTTTCAGATCTATGATCTTCATGAGTTCTTTTGGCATAAAGGTGCCAACTTTATGGTCTTAAGGGTTTCATGCATCTGTTAAGCTCTTCTTTTAGTCTCTTATGAGCTTTTTAGCCTCTCCTAGCCATGCATGAGTGTAAAGTTGGAAGCTTTACGTGACCATGCAGCCTTTAAGGACCAGATATGTATTTTAGGGCTTTGCCTTGGTGATTAAGTGATTATTGATTAAGCCCTTAACCTTTTAAGCCTAGGGTTTGGGTTTTGAGCCCACTTGGTTGGTCCCTAGGGGTAAAGTTGGAAACTTTACCCTTTTAGACGCTATTTCAGTTAAGATCTGAGTGGGGAAGCTATTAGTTTCGTTTATGTCGGCTTAATGGGTTAAGATGGTTGGTTCCTGATGAACTCGACGAGTTGGATCGGTTCTTCTCGATTTTGGCAGTCTGATGAAGGAAACTCGACGAATTGAAGGGCAACTCAGCGAGTTGGGTCAACTTGGGCCATTGACTTTGACTTTTGACTTATGTCTTTGACCTAGTTTGTCCCAAGGGGTGTTTGTGGTAATCTGAATTGTATTTAAGGAAAATATGGGCTTAGGATAAGGCCCATATGGGATTGGGCCCAATTTGGAAAATTGGGCCATTAGTGGGCCTTTATGGATCTTTTGGTGTTGGGCCTTTTGGTTATTGGAATTGGGCCTCAGTTTGGTTCATTTTGGGGTTAGGGGTAAAATGGTCAAGTTTACCCCAAGTATGGATTGTGGGACTTAGAATGGAACCCAATCGCTAATTGGGTGTTATTTTGATCTGTTAGATCGGAGGTGTCGTCGAGGCGGCAACTAGGATTTCTTTCAGTAAGCTTTAGCATTCGAGGCGAGTCTCCTCACTGTTTGTATGGGTCAAAGGCACCAATGCCGGCCCGTTTGGTTTATGTATTGTAGGAAGACCCGGGGGTTAGCCCTTGGCATTATGTATGAAAGACCAAGAGGCGACTCCTGGCACACTGTATGCAAGACCAGGGTCTGAGCCTGGCAGCACTTAGCTTAGTAGTGTAGATTGTATGCTAGTTGTCTTTATGATGCTTGCATGGAAGACCCGGAGGTGGCTCCTGGCACTTGTGTGTAAGACCCAAGGTTGTGTCCCCCGGCCTGGCAAGGAAGACAACGAGGCGACTCGTGGCATAATGACAAGACTATATGCGGCACATAGCACCTTTATTGATTATGATATATGAATGATATGTATGGCTCGCGATTTTGTACATGTGTGGATCATTTGATATGTATGTGTAACACCCATAAAAATCAAGCCAATTTAAAACTTTTTCAAACATCCAAAAGCCATTAGTTATTACAAAATGTTTTCAAAATAGTTTCATATCAGAGTATCCCAGAAACCATAAGTCCAAAACGCGAGGATGTGTACGATCACGCATTCGCCTTGCCGAGACATCTGAAGCACCTGAAACAATAAACTAAAACCGTAAGTGTGACAACCCGAAATTTCTATCTTGTACAACACTTAAACTCAATCAAAATCAGACTCGTATCTGCTATCTTCTAGCACTATTTAGGGTCTATTTAAGTGTTATAATTCTAGTACATCCGAGGGATGAGTGAAAAGAAGTGTCTGTTGAAATTCAAAACCAACAAAAAAGCCATAAACCCCTTTCATGAGGAGTTTACGGCCAGGACACATGAGTTTACGGCTGTAAACTCATGAGGCCGTAAACTCTTGGCTATATATGTGATACTTGGCCATTTTTCAACACTTTTACCACTCTTAACTAAAGAACTCGGTTTTTCTCTCAACTATCATCAAGTTCTTCACTTAAATCTTCAAAAATGTAAGTGTTTCCATCCCTTGATTAGTGATACATCTTCTTAACTAGCATAACCCATTGATTCCATCCATTAGCATCATCTTTTGGGTTAGATCTTCAAGAAACACCAAGAACACCAAGAACACACACTAGTGTTTTGGGCCGAAATCAACCTTTTTAGCTTCTATATCGTAAGTATCACTTCCCTATGCTCGATATCTAGTTGAAACGCATGTTAAACACCTTGAAAACGTCATTTTCCCCAAGAACAATAGGTGTTTACGGCCAAGATCATCTCCCTTGGCCGTAAACCCTAGTTAGAGGTGCATATGAACCATAAATCTTTCCTAAGGGTTGGTCTTGAGTCTAGAACACTTCCTTGATGTTTGCAAGGCCTTGACAACACTTTTGGGCACAAAACTTCTTGAGTTTACGGTCGTAAACTCATAGGGCCGTAAACCCTATGGCCGTAAACTCATGAGGCCGTGAACACATGGCCGTAAACTCCAAAGTTTGGCCATACACTCCTTAGATGCAATCCCTTGTCATTATAACACTTCCATATAAGTGTTCCTTGCATGATTAGTTGTATAAACACTAATTATATACATATATGTGTCAATATATGCTTATTAGGATCCGTTGTGCTCGAGTCTTCACATGTGATTAATAACTATCAATCAAATGGATTTTGTTACATTTCAAACTGTGTTATCAAACAAACTGTTTCAAATCATTTTATAAACTCTTTTGCATGTTAAATACTTTCTATTAAACTATTTTAAACTTATACTTTGTCAAATCATATGTATATGGATATAATTATATAAGTAGGATTGAAAGGATTTAGGACTGATAACTCGCTTTATTTCATGTTCCTTGTTTGGTTGTGGACTTAGGGTATCGGTTGTTTCTCTGAAGATCGTTTGAATCTTAGTTATATATTATGTATATGTATATAGATATAAAAGTTATTCAAATCAGTTCAATACCTTTGGGTAGCAAAGGTATACAAACATGTTCATTCATACAAACAACACTGCTAGTAAACTATAATAGGTATAGTTTAGGAAGTCACTAATCTATTTCTAGAACAATGGAACATACACGAGTCAGTTCAAACACACTATAAAGAGAAAAAGATAGAGCATACTATGACGAGAAACAATACTCACTATAAAGAGAAACAAATAGAGCATACTATAACGAG